GCGTCGACGTCTCCTGAGAGCCCCTGGGTGTGCGCCCCTCCCGGAGCTGCTGTGCACGGGCCGGGGGTGCCTGTGCGGAGGACCAGAGCCAGCCCTGGGAGGGAATTGCCCGAACAGGCCTGCGCGGCCGGTGGGCCAGTCGGTACCTTGCCCGGCCCCTGCCTGCCCCAGAGGGCTCCGTCCTGGCCCCCGGCACCTCACCACTCTGTCTGAGGCCCCCCTCGCGCACCCCCTCCATGTAGCAGCCCCGTTTGGCCGGCCAGGAGCCTGCATTGGGGGAAGCGAGAGCTCCTGGGTGTGGCATTCAAGGCCCCCGATGACCAGCCCCCCCCCCCCACTGCTTCCACCACCCACCCTTGGCTTTGTGCTCCATTCCCTGCCCCCCCCCCTTCGCCTGTCCCTCCGCCTAATCCCCATGCACTTCCCACACTGCCCGCGTGGGGCATTCGGTCCAGTTCTCTGTCCAGCTCAGGTGCCACCTCCTCCAGGAGGCCTGCCCACGGCCCCGGCTCTTTACCTCCCTTTATTCTTATTTTCACTTACAAAATGTGCAAAAGGTGCAAGAGCAGACCTCCCCACGGTCCCCACACAGGTGAACACACGACATTTCATTGCATGTGCTCTGACCGGTTTTGGAGAGCCGAGACCTGCGGAGGAGGAAGTGAGGAGGAGGAAGGTGTCCTCCGCGTCCCCTCCCCCGCACGGCCTGTGGTGCACTTTCCCTGAGGGGTATCGGGCGGCATGCGCGGCCTCTGGGCTTCACGCTGGGGTTTATTGCCTCCGGCAGCTGGGAGGTTTCTCATTGTGAGAACAATCCGGTTGGACAGTTGGGCTGTTCCCAGTTTTTCCCGTCCAAGGCCTGTTGTGCACCTGTCCCCTGCGCACCTGGGCATGAGTGGCCTGGATGTGCCCAGAAGGGGACCCTCAGGCCTGGGCATGCTCGTTCTCACTTCGTCAATCCCGCTACCCTCCCGGCCCCATCCCGCCCTCCGACGGCGACCCTGCTTGGTCCCAGGAGCATGTTTGCCAAAGGAGGAGCCATTGGGCTGACTCCCAGCAGCTCTGTGCCAGGCGCCTCCTGCCCTCCCCTCGGTCCTTGGGGCCGGGAAGGTTCTGTCTCCCGCTGCGTGGAGGTGAGGCTCGGGCACTGCCCTGGGTGTGTGGGCACTGGGGCTGGGAGGAGCAGCGACTTCCAGGGGCTGGGCAGCAGACAGGGGTGCATTCCCCTGGTGTCACGTGCACCCCCATGGGCTGTGGGACGAGCGTGAGGTCAGTGGGAGCAGGAGTGGGGCCCCGAGCGAGGGGGCGGCCAGGCCCAGCGGGGCCCTCCTGCGGCTCCTGGGCTGTCAGTCACCGCAGCCTCGCGGCGGGTCACCTCATCCGAGAATTGTAAGCGGGGTTCGCACGACGGTAAAAGCGGTGCTTATGTCGTATTCGTATTTATCGGCGCCGATGGAGCTGGGAGCTTAGTGTTCCCTTCGCCCCACATCACAGGGATTCCGCCACGTGCAAGGAAACCGCGGGGTCCGGGAGGCGAGGCCGCGGCTTCTGGGCTGTCCAGCCTGGTCCCCGGAGGCCTGGACGGCGGCCCCCCTTCCTCGCCCAGCCGGTGGAAGCAGGAGCCCCGCTCTGGTCAGCTCAGCAAACACTCCCCCAGCTGGTGGAGGGGCACGGGCGCTGCCTTGCCCGCTTCCTCGAAGCCACACCGGGCACGCAGGGGAGCCGAGGGGGAGCCAGTTCTGACCTTGGGTCAGGGGCTGGTGGGCGCAGCCTTTCTGATGCCGGGCACTGCCCGTCCTCACCACCCCATTCCCGGGCCAAGGAGAGCCAGCCGCTGTCCAGCGGGTGCTGCGAGATGTTTGCTGAGTGAACAGGATCAGAGGGGTGGGCATCTGTCCCGGGCGGGAGGAAGTCCCTTAGAAGGGGCCACAGGCAGGAGGCTGAGTCTGTGACATCGCTCCCCCTCCTACCTCCTGCGGCTGGCGCAGAGTGCTCTGATTTCGGGGAGGCGAGGAGTAATTCCATCTTAGAGACGGGGGTGGCCCCTGCAGAGCCAGTGGGCTCCCCAGATTTGCCCAACAAGAAAGGGGCCACTCCAGATGGGCACCTGGACTGGCCGAGGCCGAGGCCGTGCCGTGGGTCCCGCCCCCGTGCAGAAGCGGTGACTGGCACAGAGCTGGGGTGTGAGCCCAGGCTGCCGTCCCCGCCACGGGCCATCAGCACCGCGGAGCCTCCCACCCGCCTCGGGGTGGCTTCCTGGGCCACCCGGGGACGCCGCCGAGGCAAGAAAAACCTGAAGTTATCTTTGACTTTTATGGCCCTTTTTTCCTATTAGAATGCTTAGGGCTGTAAGTGTGGTCATAAGGAGCTCGTTTATCCTGGCGAAAGTGCGGCTATAAACTATCTGGTGCTGGCGAAATGCCCTCCGAGATGGCTTCTGCCGGTCTCAATAAATCCCGACGCGGCGGAGGTCGGCCCCCGCCAGATGAAGTGTCCTCTCAGCCGAGAGAAGCTGACAGATGGACACCGGGGTCCCCGGCAGGAGAAAAGACAGTGGGTGGGAGGTGGCGGGGTCCTGGGGGGACCCATCGCCCCCAGGGCATTGCTCAACAGCCTCGTCTGCAGCAAATTCGTCCCAAAAGACTTCGGGCTCTGACCCGGGGACTCACCCTGTCTTCCACACTCCTCCTGCTGCCCTGGCACCAGGGACACCCACACCCTGGAAGGTGCCCCTTAGTGAGCCGCGGGCGCCCTGAGTCCCAGCATCTGTACAAAGGCCGGCGTCGGGTTGGGTGGGAGTCGGACCGTATGCAATTCGAGGAGTCAGCGGGTGAAGGTGGGAGTCTGCGTATGGCCCACAGGTCGGCATTTTCCACGCGGCGGGTTGTTTCTGTCTTGGTGACCAAGTGTTGAGAACGAGGTCAAAGCAAAGCTCACCTGTCCGCCCACCGACCATGGGCTCTGCCCTCCGCTACCTGTGTCCAGCCCTCGCTCTCGGTCCCCCTCCTCCCTCCCTGATTGTGAATTTCTAAGGCGCACGGTACGGACAGACGTTGCTGGTGTCCCAAGTCGGGAGGGAGGGCCAAGCACTGACCAGAAATGAAGGCCTAGAACCACAGCCACTGGGGTCTGCAAGACGCACGGACACAGCGAAAAGAGGACCCAGAGAGGGATCCTGGGTCCCGCACCGACAGACACCTGCAGCAACACCTGGTGACACGTGCAGACACGGACACACACAGCAACCGTCACACCTTGTCTGGAGGCTGCCCAGCCCCTCCTCGCGACTGGGGTCCGGAGGGCCTGCCGGGCATCTCGGCCAGCAGGGCGTCCCCGGGAAGGAGGCTTACCAGTTCCCTGGCTGGTGGGTCTGCGCATGGGTGGGCCCTTGTGGTTCTGGTCGGCTCCCCACTGATGGAGTGAAGTGCCCGTGTGGGTCTTTCGTGGGAGGACCTGCTGGAGGGACAGGTTGGCACAATCACCTGGAAGCTTGGTAATCAGATGGTGCTCCATGCCCACCCCTCACCTGTGCAGGTCTGGGCTGGGGCCCAGGCATCCATGCAGACAAGCTTTGCAGGTGGCATTCCTGCCAGCAGGGGGCGGGAGAGGGCAGAGCCTCCAAGCTGGGTCCTTCCTGAGGCACGGGGCCGACTCCTGACACAGGAGCACTGGACAGCGCTCACCACCAGGCTGTGCAGGACAGCGACAGACACCCACTGTGGACGGAGACGCTCCCTCACCAAGTGGCCGTGTCTGTCGTTAGCTCTCGGTGTTGCGCATGAAGCTCTGTGTGCACAGTGGAGAATACCCCGTTACGTGTGGATAACTGGGCCCTGCGTCTCACACGAGCCGGAGCTTTGCCCACGTGGGCAGGTGGCAGATTCCGGAGGAGGGGGGAGCCCTCCCATTATATTGGGGGGAAGCAGCCCTGTGGTCTGTGGGCCTGCGACCCTCTGCCGTGTCATTGGGGATGGACAGTGTTCATTCTGGGGACAGAAAGATCTAAAGTTAGGGGGAAATAGGGAGGATGTTTGCCCTTGGTATCTGTGGACGTACAGTATACAATAAACCAGGTGTATTCAAAGTGTACACTGTGACAAGTTTGACACCGTGTTCACACACCTGTGAAACCATCACCGAATCAAGACAGCGAACGCACCCTTTGCCCTCAGAAGTTCCCTCGTGCTTTCTGTGACCCCCTTTTTGCCATTCCCCGGTCTCTACACCCCCGATCCGTTTCCTGTCCCTTTAGACGAGCTTGTGTTTTCTGGAATTTTATGTACACGGCCTCGTACGCCAGGCCGTCTCTTTTTTTGTCTGGCTCCTTTCAGCAGAACTGTTTTGAGATTTGTCCCTGTTGTTTTGGGGTGTCGATTGCTCATTTCCTTTCATTGCCCAGTATTACATTCCGTTGAGGGCACACGCCAGTGTTCATCTGTGGACCCGTAGACTGTCTCCCGTGGAAATACTCCGTGAGGCGGAAATGGCTTTGTCCAGGAGGATGTTCACTGAAGCGTTGTTTACGCGTCGGGAAAGGGCGGGATCAAACCCACATTCCTGAGAGGAGGGACCGGCTGCGGCCGCGCCAGGGCGTCTGCTGAATGACAGACTCGGCATCCGTCGGCGTGACTCGAAGGTTGGCGCCACCTCGGAAAATGCTACGTTTCCTCGAGGGAACGTAGAAGAATGGGTGACAGCATTCTCTGTGTCGCTACCTACAAATTTTACTTGAAAACTAGGAAGCTAGTGTGCAGCAGTGGCGGGTGGTTTTCTGGGTGATGCCATTCTTTGTCTTTCTCTAGTTTCCGAGACTTCTTGCAGGAGCATGTGCTACGGTGGTGACTACCACGCCGTAGCTCAGAGCGGGAAGAGCAGAACTCGCTGTGTCCCAGGCCCTGGCCCCTGGGCCAGGCTGGCAGAGCCGAGCGCCTGGCGCCTGCCCGTGGGCTGCGTGCGGCTCGGCCCGCGTCCCGTCTCAGCCGCGCCCTCCTGTCTTCCAGGCTTTGGGACCCATCACTGCAGTGCCTGTCTCGGGTCCTCAGGTCAGCTCCTTGCAGAGGTTGGCCGGGCAAGGAGCTGCAGTGCTACCTCAGGTAAGAGCCCGTGGGTGGGCCCAGCTGTGTCTGTCTGTCCTTCCTGTGCTGTCTGAACCCAGCGCCGCGGCCCCGGGGTTTACCCTGAGTTGGGGGGAGCCTGTCCCTCACCCGTTTTTTCCCATGAGGAATTGGGAAATCAGTTCCGTGGGTGATGATCAGGGTTTTTTATTTTTATTTTATGAATAAAAAATTGTTTTCTTTATTGATTTTAGAGAGGGAGGAAGGAAGAAGGAGAGAGAGAGAGAACATCGATGAGAGAGAACATTGATTGGCCGTCTCCTGCATGCCCCCCACTGGGCATCGGGCCCACAACCTGGGCATGTGCCCTGACCGGGAATCGAACTGGTGACCTCTTGGTGCAGGGTCGATGCTCAACACTGAGCCACACCAGCCGGGCTGACCAGGGTTTTTTTTTTTTGTTTTTTTTTTATCCTCACCCGAGGACATTTTTCCATTTTTTGTTCAGGTAGAGTGGGAGGGAGAGAGAGGAACAGAGAGAGAGAGAGAGAAACATCAACATGAAAGGAACACATCGAGTGGCTGCCACCCACACAACCGACCAGGGCCGGGGACAAACTGCAACCGAGGTACGCGCCCCTAGCGGGAACCGAACCCGGGTCTCTCAGGACCGCAGGCCGACGCTCTAACCGCTGAGCCAAACCGGCCAGGGCCTGACCAGGGTTTTTTAAATGGAATAAACTAGGCTGGACTAGAACAGGGCAAAAAAATATCAAGACACATCATAGCGTTACTTCTTGAATAACTCAGTTCTAGACCAGGTCGTGAAGTAACCAGGATTTTAAACTATGGACCATGGTCAGGAGTGTGAGACACTGGATGAGATGACTCCTGTGGGACCGGGTGTCCTGGGTTCCGCCCGGAGCCCCTGACTGGGCTCTGCATTTTGGATGTATCACCTGGCCTCTTACCGTCCTGGGCTGAGTCTCCTTCCTGTGAGGGGGCTGACACAGGTGCCTATTGGGTACCGTGACAACCGAATCCCCTGGTACCTTCGAAGCCTTTATAGCCATGCCTGGTACAGAGCCAACACCTGCTGGGCACAACCAGTGCTCGGCTTTACTGAGTGCCCGTGGTGCATACCACACCATGCTGGGGGAGGCTGGAGGGCTGGGCAGATGCCCCCAGTGCCAGGACACCGAGGGGTGGAGGTCCCAGGTCCTCTTGTTCTCATGGTGGCCTTTGCCACGTGTCCACCTGTGCTGCTCCGGAAAGGCTGAGAGTCCAGGGGGAGGACAAACAAGGAAACAGGTATTTTGAACCCAGGGTGATCGGGCGAAGTAGGCAGGGTGTACAGGGGCAGCACAGTAGGAGCCCTGAGGAGGCCCATAGTCCACTTGGGATTCAGGGAGGGCTTCCTGGAGGAGGTGGTACTCAAAGCAGGCCTCAGTGGGTGGAAGGTCTTGACACACCCCAGGCAGGGAGCAAGCACCCAGGGGAGGGATCGTCCAGCACAGGGCACAGGGGTGAGGAATGGAGGCAGGGGCAGTGGGGAGGCCCGAGAGGCAGTGATGTCAACAGGGGCCTTTGGGGGCCTTTCGTATCAGGCCACAGAATAGGGTTTTGCTTGTCTGTGAGCGGAAGGCAGTGGGGAGCTATGGTAGGCTTTGGAGCGAGGGACGGTCAGGATTGGTTCTTCTGATCAAGATTGGTGTACCCGGCTGGTGTGGCTCAGTGGATTGAGCATTGTCCCATGGACTGAGAGGTCTCAGTTCAATTCCCGATCAGGGCACATGCCCAAGTTGTGGGCTTAATCCCTGATAGGGGGCGTGCAGGAGGCAGCCGATCGATGTTTCTCTCCCTCTCTCTAAAAAATGAATTAAAAAAAAGATTGGTGCTGTTTTTCTTGGAGTTCTCACTCCCACGTGCACCCCTCACTTGTGAAAGTCCTAGGCCCCTCCTCCACCCTAACATGGGTTCGCACACCCAGATGCGCACACACACACACACACACACACAGGTATGTGCTGTCTTCACAGTCACCCCTCATTGGCCTCTGCACCTTCCCCCAACCTTTTTCCTCCCACCCACACATTGGAGCCAAACCCGGAACCCCTGGCCGAACTTATGTCCAAGTCCAGCCCGCGCAGTCCGGGCCCAGCTCACCACATTCAGATCTGGATTACGTCGTATCAGCCGGTGTGTAAACCAGGGCCCCCGGGAAGCCGGAATGACCGGGAGGAGCCGGCCGAGCAGCCTTCCCGTGACGAGAGCTGGAGATCGCAGCTGGGTCCTCGTCGCTGGTCCTGGAGGCCGGGAGCCGCAGCCCAGAGCCGGGCACCACGGCTGGCACAGCCCGGGGTCGGCTGCGGTCTCCGCACGCAGTGTTGTGTCGGGGCGCTTTGCTGCTTTGCGACGTGATGCGGACAGGGTCGTGCACCTACGGTCCCGCTGCTGCGTCTGCCCCCAGCCCCCCGCTCTGGTCTGCACCGTGTGCTCTGCGTTGAGCTGGGAGAGGTTAAGGCTCGGGGAGGCTCCTCTCGAGCCCCCGGCCAGTCGGTGCCAGCCCGCGTGCGGGTGGCCTTGGCACGTCTGCGGCCTCTCTGTGCTCATCCCCTCACCTCTGACGTGGGATGTCTGTGAGCTGCGTCACACCAGTGCCCGCGCTCTGTCCGCCCCATGTCCTGGCTCTGCTCAGGGCTGCCCCTTGGCCATGCCTGTCATCATCCACCTGTGTGTCTGTCTGTCTGTCCCCCCACCAGGTTAGGCCAAAGACTCTGATTCCAGACAGCCTCCCCGTCACCCCTGGCCGGGACCGGCCACCCAAGCAGCCCCCGACGTTCCAGAAGGCCACCGTGGTCAGTATCAAGAACCCCAGCCCAGCCCTCCCCACCGCCAACAACACCGCGAGCCATGTGCCAACGCCCAGCAGCCAGCCCCAGGCCCTCGCCGAGTCGGCCGCCATCACCTCGTCTCTGAGCAGCGCCGGGGTGGCCTATGCCATCATCTCCACCGCCCCCAGCAATGCCGCCGCCGTCACCCCCAGCACCGCCGTGTCCGTGGTCAGCGACAGCATCAAAGTGCAGCCCCTCCTCATCAGTGCCGACAACAAGGTGAGGCTGTGCCTGTACACGCAGGCAGTGCCTGTCCAAGAGGGGCCAGATGGACAAGGCCCAGCAGAATGAATGACCAGATGGCGGGATGGTCAGTGGCGGAATGGGTGGACAGGGTGTGAACGCGGCGGAATGGGTGGACTGTGGATGTGGTGGGCTGGGTGGACGGGGTGTGGATGTGGCAGAATGGGTAGATGGTGTGTGGACGTGGCGGAATGGGTGGATGGGTGTGGACGTGGCGGAATGGGTGGATGGGGTGTGGACGTGACGGGTGGATGGGTGTGGACGTGACGGGTGGATGGGGTGTGGACGTGGCGGAATGGGTGGATGGGTGTGGACGTGGCAGAATGTGTGGACGGGGTGTGGACATGGCGGAACGGGTGGATGGCGTGTGGATGAGGGAGTGATCAGGTGATGGGTCTGCATGTGAGTGAATGAGGGTACAAATACATGGGTATGTGATTGAAAAAACATGTGGCTGAGCGAATTTTTTTTTTTTAATCCTCAGCAGAGGACATTTAGTGGGAAGGAGAGGGTGAGGATGAGAGAGAGAGAAACATCGATGTGAGAGAGACACATTGACTGGTTGCCACCCACACGACCCCAGCCAGGGCTGCGGACGAACCACAACCGAGGTACGTGCCCTTGACCGGAATCAAACCTGCAGCTCATTGGTCCGCGGGCCAACGCTCTAACCGCTGAGCAAACCGGCCAGGGCCCTTGCCAAGATTTCTCCTTGTTCCCCTCTGAGCTCCTCTGACTGTGGTTCTTGGGGCCTTTGGGGCTGCGTGGAAGGCACCATTTTTTCTCTTTGGCCTCTTCTCCTGTTCCCAGTTTGGGGTCCGCCGGGCGGCCCCTCTTGTGCATGGCCAGCGTGCCTTCCATTTCACAGCCCGCATGTTGGCACTCCCCTTTCGGCCGCCATGTCATCGCGGACAGAACATTGCCGGCGTGTTAGGCTCTTGAGCGCCCGCAGCCAGGGACCAGTCCCGGGGGTTCTGGAAGCTTCAGCGGGCTCTGGTCTCAGTCCCGGCGAGGAGGCTCCACCGGCTGCTGAGCAGGTGTTTGAATGACCAGACCTGCTTCACGGCAGCGCCACCAGCATTCAGAGTTTTCGTTTTAAGCACTTTTTGTTCATTCAATCGGTGCAGACAGATACTCGGGATTGAAAGTGGAATGATTTGGTTATTATTCAGCGTGAACGTCTTCCCTGTGCTTTTCAAGATTTCTGACTCCTCCTGGGTGACTTGTGTGAGGACATTCTTTGTGCCTTTTTCTACTGAGGATCGTAATGTTTTCCTCCCCGTGAATATGAAAAGGGGCCTTATTTTCCATCCAGAGAATGCTGGGCTTTTAAAACTGTGATGCAAAGAAGAACAGAGACCCTCCCCTGAGCCAGCAGGGACGTGGGGCGTCTTCTCTCGGGATTCACGGGGTCCTCACCACATGTTCGGGGGACACTCGAGTTCAGGTTATTCCTGGCTCGACCTGACCCTGACTGGCTGTGAATCCCTTTCCCTGGATCCGTGGGAGATAACAATTCCCTCCGTTCCCTGACCAAAAAGTAAATGGACGAGGGGAGCCCCGGTGGGGGAGGTTCCGGCCGGGGAGAGGCTGGGGTGCACAGGCCAGTTTCAGACTCTTCAGGCCCTGAACCTTTGATCAAAGCCGTTGATGACCCTGAGCCCTGAGGTGGCTGGCTGAAGTTGGGGTGCTCGGGGTGATTCTTTGTGGATCTGGGGCCCACCTCCTCCTGCTCCGCAGCCCCATCACCCCTGGGCTCGGCGGGGCTCCTCGGCGTGAGAAAAGCATTATTCTCACCTGTGCCCCCAGCAGAGTGAGCACCTCAGACACTGGCCTGGGCCCAGGGCAGGGAGGGCAGTGGGTGGCCAGGTCACACGGCCAAGGCAGACCCGGGAAGTGTCCCAGCCCCTCTGCTCCCCTTGGCCTCAGTTCACCTGCATTTGAGGTCGGGACAGGGAAACTGACCTCTTTGGTCCTTGCTGCCCAGAACGTAGGCCCCTGCAGCAGGGGTTTGGGGAAGCTGAGGAGAGGCAGGGTCCCTCCCTGAGTCGACACAGCCAGGAAGCAGTAGCTCAGGATCGAACCCAGGCCCTTCTGGCTCCTAAACCAGGCCCGTTTCTCGGGCAGACCACCTTCATGGGAAGGGCCGTTGGAGGCCGGTGCCCGAAGCCATCGACTGGAGAGCTTGGTGCAGCCTCCTCGTTGCTCCGAGATCCTGCCGTTCGGGGACCTGCACCCTTGGGGACAATGCACATGGCCTCACCCAGGCTCTGCTAACCCTGCCCGCCCTGGACCCTCCCAGCTTCCCCGCTTCCCTTCTGCTCCCCCCTCGGCCACTGCTTCACCCCCCCACCCCCCCTTCACCCCCCCGCCTCCCCTTCACCCCGTTGGCCACCCCTTCATCCCCCCCAACACCCCTTCAACCCCCGGCCACCCCTTCACTCCCCCGCCACCCCTTCACCCCCCTGGCTACCCCTTCATCCCCCCAACACCCCTTCAACCCCCGGCCACCCCTTCACTTCCCGGCCACCCCTTCACCCCCCCCGGCCACCCCTTAACCCCCCCTTCACCCCCCACACCACCCCTTCACCCCCCGCCGCCCTCAACCCCCCGCTGCCCCCTCAACCCCCGCCACCCCCTCACCCACTGCCCCCTCACCCCCCTGTCACCCCTTCACCCCCCGCCACCCCCTCACCCCCCGCCACCTCCTCACCCCCCTGCCACCCCCTTACCCCCCGTATCTTCCAGGTCATCATCTTTCAGCCTCAAGTGCAGACACAGCCCGAGAGCACAGTGGAGTCGCGGCCGCCCACGGAGGATCCATCTCAGGGAGCTCAGGCCACCAAAAAGAAGGAAGACCGGCCCTTGAGCCAGGAGAACCCCGAGGTAGGGGGGCTGTGGTCTGGGGACGGCGGAGCAGCCGTGGCGACGGCCTTATGGGGAGTCAGCTGAGCCCCGTGCACAGCCACCCCGTGTGGTGGGGACCTCCACTGGGGACTTGCCCGGTGGCGGCGTGGGAGGGACGGTCAGGCGGGTTCCAGAGCCAGGCTGCCTGGACTGCGGCGGACGGCGGAGCCCGCCTGTCCCGTGTGCGAAGTGGGTTCGCCGTCCTTCCGGCGGCGCTGTGGGGGGTGCGTGAGTCTGTGCCTGCCAAGCCCCCGAACCGTGCCGGGGCGCTGGGGGCATGCCCGCCCCAGCCGGCTGCAGGCCCGCCCGTCCCTGCCCTCCATCAGCCTCCTGCGCGGACGGGGTAAGAGGCCGTGGCAAGGCGGGCCGTTCTTTGTTGACCTTTGGGTTACGGCACACGACAGTCCCTGTCCTGGCCAAACCAGCTCGCTGGGCTTGTTTTCATGTGACTGCCTGCTCCTGGCCCCTTTGTCTCTCCCTACCAAACCCTCATGTATCTCATGTTTTACTTCAGACATTGTCTCCTCCAGGCAGCCCTCCCTGACCACCCACCCCAGCGGGCAGAAGAGGCCCCTCGGGGCTCCCACAGCTCCTTATGATTCACGCTTTTTGATAAAGCAAGCACGCTGTCTATCAAAAGAAGTCACCTTTCGTGCACTTAGTTCTTCGTCGAGCGTGTCCTGTGCCAGGCTCTGCTGAGGGTGGGGACGCCGAGATGGTGCAGACACGGTGCTGGCCCCAGGGAAACTCTCCCTGCTGGCACGGACAGGCACGGCCACTGGGACTTGGGTTAACAAATGCCGGGTGTCACCAGAGAATGATACATTCAGAGCTCTGGGAGATGGGGGGCCATGTTTCCGCCTGGAAGGATGGGGGAAAGGGCTTGACAGAGGTGTGTGACCAGCAAGGACCCAAGGAACAGGCGGAGTCTCAGCAGAGGGGCAGGAGGGAGGGCGTGTCTGGGAGAGGGTACCACAGTTGGGCTCGACAGACACCAGAGCCCCGTCCTGGAGGACCTGGACGCAGGCTGCCGAGGTGGAGCTTCAGTCCTTGGGTAGTAGGGAGCCATGGAATAGCTTAGAGCTGGAGAGTGACCTGCTCACTGTCCTTTGCATGTCCAGAAAGGCTACTGGGATTCATAGAGTCGTCAGCCACTCACCGAGGCTGAGATGGACCATCTCCCCAGTGGCCCCAGGCCCAATTTCTTCTCAAGAGAGAGTCAGTTTGGTTCCATGGCAGCCTGTGAGCACCTACTGTGTGCATGGTAGATGGGGTCTGGGTCTGGCTGGAAGCCCAAGGTTCCCAGAGCACCCTCCCCTGTGGGGTCTTGCCACATCTTAACCTTCCGAGGGCTTTCTGGGTGGACTCTTTGCTCTCTCAAAGTTATCTCAGTTGATTATTGGGCATTTATACAATTAGTGTAATTACGTCCAACTACATAATTAGCATAAATACGTGCCATGGCTTACACAGAATTGCAATTACAGCGTGTCCTGGTGTAAAACTCCTTCTCAAAGTTTCTGTCTAACTGCAGCTCAGAGCCGCAGCGGCGGGGAACCTCTCGGGGACCAGTGCAGGCTGAGCACGCGGGAGCCTGGGTCGTTGGTGGGCACCAATTTACTGTAAAGAAACACTGGTTGGACCGGCTGGTGTGGCTCCGTGGTTGAGCGTCGACCCTGCACCAAGAGGTCACCGGTTCGATTCCCCGTCAGGGCACATGCCCAGGTTGTGGGCCCGATCCCCAGTGGGGGGCATGCAGGAGGCGGCCAATTGATGTTCTTTCATCGATGTTTCTCTCTCTAAAAAAAAAAAATCAATAAAGGAAAAAAAAAAAAGAAACACCAGTTGGTGTCTGGAAGGCCCAGCTGTAACGGTGGCTTCAGGTAGTGGCTGTCCAGCTCCCAGCACCACAAGCAGTGGTGACCTTATGACCTTGATCATAAGAAGGGCCGAGCATGCCTGAGATTAACACTAATTACTGAGTGACTGATACGCAAAATGGTATCCATTCTAGTTCCAGAAAGAGAATCCGCAGTGGATACGGACAACGGGAAACAGAATAAACAAGGAGGTAAGGAGAAGGGGGCATAGACTTAGGAACACAAGGCGAAGGCTGGTGAGGCCCGGCTTCGTACCGCAGTCAGGGGCCTGCATTACTGCTGGAGGTGGTCACGGTTGGCTCTGAGCTCCCTGGCAGCCTGGCGGTCACCCAGCGGCATTGCGACCGGAAGGGGAGAGGACATCGGGGTCATCAGTCCCAGAACAGCCCCTGGCGTCAGGGGAAGGAGTGGTTGTAGCTCCGGGATCCCAAGAGCGCTCCCTGCCAGCCAGTCCGTCGGGTGCGCTGGGGACTGTGGTTCACGGAGAGGGAAACTGAGGCTCAGAAGCAGCGACCGTCAGAGGCGGCAGCCACCTCGGGCACCTGCTCCAGCACCCTACGCCCTGAGCCATGCTGGCCTCCTCCACTGTGGTCACGCTAAGGGGGTGAGGAGTGGAGTCAGGGCCGAATCGCGTGGACAGTCACGGAGAGGCTGACCACTGTCCTGGGCTCGCCTCCTTTCCGATTTTCCCAGGGGCAGCTCCCGGCCTTTCCTCCAAATAACAATTATCGGTGCAGAAGGGTCCCTATTACTCACCTTCCCGGGGGCTGGCCGCACCCGCTGGAGGGCCGCTGCACTGCCGAGAGATTTCAGAGGGTCAGTGGATATGTTATTGCCTCTGGATCCCTCTTCGCTCTGGCTGCCGGGGAGCTCACAGCCAACTGTGACCACCTCAGCCATTGTACAGGGCCCTGACTGCACTTCGAAGCCGGGCCTCACCAGCCTTCCCCTTCCGTTCCTAAGTTTATCCCCCTTCTCCTTCCTTCCTTGCTTACTCTGTTTCCTGTTGCATGTATCCACTGCGGATTCTTTTTCTGGAATCAGAATGGATGCCATTTTGCGTATCAGTCACTCAGTAATTAGTGCTAATCTCAGGTATGCTCTGCGCTTCTTATGATCAAGGTCAGTCTCTGCTCTGAAGGACCCTTTTTCGTGGCTGAGATTGCCCCCCTCCCTCCTGAAGGACACACCACATGACCCTCCGTGACCCTACACCCCGGGGCCCTGGCACGTCCTTACACACCCGCTCTGCACCAGGCACGTGCGGGACACACGTGTCCGGCTCTTCCGTTGCTCCCGCACAGCCACCCACGGAGCGGGGTCATGTCCCCTGTTTTAGGATGTGCAAACCGCAGGCTCAGAGCAGCCCAGAGCCTCCATCAGCGCTGTGCTGGGAACGAGGGAATTTGAGCCTGGTTGCTGGTCTTTCTGCGACCCCACAGGCGCTCTTGATTTCATTGATGGATCGCATTTATGTGAGTCCACACCCAAATGACCACAGTGGAAATCAACAGGAAACACTTAGCGCGGAAGGCCGAGGCCGGGCGATTGGCCACAGTCAGACCTGTTGCTCTCGGGTCACCTCAGCCTGGTCTGCAGTTCACCGGGTTCTCGCAGGGAGGATGGGATGGCAGAGTGGCCCGTGGCTGGTGCAGGGCTGTTCATGTCTGTGACACGGTCCAGTCTGTGGCATGCATTCACACGCTGGGCATCTTCTGAGCCGCACGGCAGCCCCGCGAGGTGGCAGGGGGCTGAAGCGTGGGCACGTGAAGGGGCAGTGCCCACCCAAGACATTGCAGGGACACGGGGCGGTCACCCCAGATCACTGCCCGGGCTTCGCAGCTAACAGCGCTTCCTCTCTCTGCATCCTCACAGCGGCTCTGCAGAGCGGGTGAGACAGATGTCAGTGTTCGTTTCATAGATGAAGAGACGGAGGCTCAGAGTGGCTGGCCATGTGCACGGACGGTCACAGGCCCCTGGCTCCTGGTGTAGGCTCTCTCTGCTCCTTCCTGTCCCAAAGCCCATGGCTTCTTTAGGACAGCTGCGGCCTTCTCTGTGCCATCTATTAACCTGGCCTCGGGGGGCATCTGACCGAGCAGGCAACCCTCAGACACCATGTGCCCTGCGGAGAGCCAGCCGGAGCAGGCCCAGCCCTGTGCAAGCCCTGACCGCACCCCTCTCTGGGCCACACCTGTACACACAGAGGCTCCCCTCCCCCACGCCATCCCTGTTGCCAAGGCTTCATTCCTGCCTGTCCCTCCCCCGGCTTTGGTCTCCCTACCCCTAGATGGGTTCCTCCCTGTCTATTCCCTGCGCAGCCAGAAGGACCTTTCCAGAATTCAGAAATAGCCAAGTGACCCCCTTCTTGGAATTCTCCCGAGCACATCCCCGTCAGGGTGACTCTTGGATGTCCAGCTGCTGCGGATAAAGATGTAGACAGGCACACAGGTGTAGCTGTGCGGCGCTGTGCCCAGACACCGGCCGGGAGCAGGACCCCGGGCTCAGGCTCAGACTCGCAGGAGGGGACCAGGAGGGGCAGCTTCTGTGGACAGTGGGTCCCCAGAGTTTGTCAGGCGAGAGAAGAGTGGAACCAGGCTTCTCTGCTTGTGTGGGAGCCAGTCTGAACTGGGCCACAGCGCCCCTGGGGCGGGGGAGGCGGAGGCCATTGTAAACTTGGAAGCCGGAGGGAGAAAACATGGAAAATAAAATAAACAGCAGAGAAGATGTTGTGCCCCCAGTGAGTCTACAGACGGAATTCTGAAACACGTGGCGAGATCAGGGAAGACAGTAAAAGTGACGCTCGGATCCTGAGTTTGTTCAAGATGGAGCTGTTGCTGCAGAATAGCCTCACAGCGGCTTTTATTTTATTATTTAAGAAAATGGTTTTTCTTGCCCTGGCCGGTTTGGCTCAGCGGTTAGAGCGTTGGCCTGCGGTCCAGAGAGACCCGGGTTCGGTTCCTGCTAAGGGCATGTACCTCGGTTGCAGTTTGTCCCCGGCCCTGGTTGGTCATGCGGGTGGCAGCCACTCGATGTGTCCTTTTCACGGCGATATTTCTCTCGCGCTCTCTCTTCCTCCCACTCTATCTGAATAAAAAATGT